CAACACGAAAAGTGGCTGGCATTAAAAAGGTAGTCGATATGGGCATTGCACATCTAGGTTTCTGTTTGAGAATATCATGAAACCGAGGAACGATCATAAAAATATTATATTACGAAAAACATACCAGAATTAAAGTCAATTTAATTTACTTCTAAAACCGTTCTCAATTTTGGGGCAGGAACTGGACGAATATCACACTTTACGATTCATGGTTTGAAGACCATTAAACGTGTACCTAACGAACAAGATGCTTTATTTCTTTTTACCGACATGCTTTGGAAACGTCAATGACAACTAGGTCCAAATATAAAGTAAATCTAATTTAATTAATCACACATATTAGACAGTAATGGGATTGAAAACGAAATATTTCGTCCCTGCGCTGGCGGTCAACACAAAAATGATTTGTTAATACACAAGAATATAATGAATGGTCCGTTGGATGACTGATTGACACCGACATATCGAAGAGACAGTATATTTCGTGCCTATATCAAGAAATCTGTGAAAGAGGTGCAGTGCTTGTCGTTTGCTTCGTTTTGCCACTTTAAAACGAGAGATGAGCCTTAAAGCCCTGCTGCCATTTCAGTAATGTCCTGGCGACAAGCGCGGTGAAGCTCCTCCAAACTACAGAATCTTATCCTCTGCCATTGTTGACACTGTCGCAGAATGGAGCAGCCAGTGCAGTTCTGTTTCAGGTGTCATGCTTTGAAAGAATGGCACAGGATTCGGCACATGAACGACGGTCAGAGTATATTACCGTATCAAAGAAAGAAGAAAAAAAGAAGCTGGCCCGTCACTGAAGCATTAATCACCCACTCGGCAACAGACGTCCACTTAGTCGTTCACGAACATTCTGGGACGACCCAGTGGCGAAGCTGCTTGGCCGACGGTGGAAGCAAAAGGCACAACACCGAGAAAGGTCGTGAAACGTCGACTTGGGTCCATGGCGCAGCCGCTGAGGAAAACCAGTCAGATAGAAGGACTAAAACATAACGTGTTTTGCTGTTTCGTAGTAGCGCATCCACAATATATCTGATAATGGAAAATTATGGCATGATAAAATAGAAATATAATGTTCGACGCTATACGTGGGGAGGGGAGGATAGTATGGCAATGGGCTAGCAATTTGGTGTACACTTTAGAGGTTCCGCGTTCAGACCCAATACTCAACGTAACTTCTCTCGTATTAAATGCTAACCGCCTTCAGCAAGGAATTCACTACGCCGTACTTCCGTATAATCGCCGGACAGCTGGTAGGTCGTTGAAATGCGAATAATGAGGACAGACTGAGTTTAAGTGTGGCCATGCCGAAGCGTGTGAAATTTGCTTTGCTATGCTGCCTGACGCGAACGGCTTCTAACTGTAGTTCGCCTTCATCTACCTGTTAGTAAACACAAATTCAAGGTGCAAATTTAAATGTAAAAGTTTAAAATTTGATTATATAACTTAATGAGACGTATGGTTAACAAAATAATACCATATAATAAATATAATAATCTCGTTTCATAAACACTTATTGCCGAATGTCAATACGAAAATTCAACAATATTCTGATATCAAAATTCGTTGAATATTAGGTTATACATACTAAGTCAAACATCCTTCAAGATATTATTTGACAAATGACAAAAGTAACAATGTTTTGATACTAGCTTTCAATTCGTCTTATAAAATGAGAATAGTGTTATTGAAGAAAATGTACTGCCGTTGTGCAACTTCTTGCTGAAGGAAAATAGCATTCGTCTAAAAGAAATACTAACACCAAATTCCCTGTCATGTAAAGGAGGTGAAAATATATGTATGATCTAGTATATTACTGAGGTCACAAAAGAAATTCTCTAAACGTATTCAATGGCAAGAGCTCTTTAAATATGGAATAAAAAAGGTTGGATATTACAGACACTGTAAAGAACCGTTGATGACTGACAAATATTTTATTTTAGTCGTGGCGTATTTTATCCCCCCCCCTTCCAGAAGCAACTGATGTAGGAAGGAAATGTAACACGCTGCCAAATCAGATCTTCGGAGGAGTCCTGAACCACGTTATATACTACAGCGTACGAAGATGCCTTGATGTTTATGCTGCACCAGCATCTGAAATGTGGTTAGTGATAAGTGTAGACAAAGTGACGCGAAATACACCTGAAGCCGCGAGTATTAAAATATCATGGAGCCATAGTTTGTTTAAATGGTCCAGTGGGAGCAAGGGTACGGTACAGTAGGCTGTGAGATCCTGTCTGGGCAAAATTAATTTAATTACATTATCTTCACATGACCAAAATAAAGCAACAAAATGGATAGCAAGTTTTTTGAACTCAACGTGGCTGCCATTTGTTACGGATGTCTGACTCTCACAGAAATTAAGCCACATTTGCACACACTATGAGTCTGTATATGAGAAATAAAAGGGAAAGATTGTTCGAGTTCTGAGGAAATCGGTCATCGAGGACTTGCACGAAGACACTGTTTGCAGTACCCTTCGTTCGGGAAGACTATGGTTCAGCGAAGGTCACAGTTTCAAAACCATCAGATGTGAGTGCGTTGCATATTACAGGTGATATTTTTCTAGCCTGGTCACCGTGTAGCATACAATAGCCGGTTGTTTAGCGGGAAGTGGTAAGTGTCAAAAACAGAAATCTGGATTCGACTGACCAATACCAAGGTTTCAGTCACCCGACTGACCACATTATCTTTTGCAAGGTGTAGCAATGAACCATGTTTTATGCTGCTTTTTCAATATGACTACCAGCGCACGACCGAAGTAGTCTGAGACGTACGGCAACCCGCAGCGCCCATCGCACAAGTAAATAAATCTCAACCGCTATAGATCAGATATGATTCTCAGAAAGGATATATACTGTAACAGGTCATGTGTGGTTCTGCTCGATGAAAGGTTCTGTTCTTCAGCGTCCTGAACATTGAGGGCCATGTGTAAATGCCAAGGTACAAATATTATATAACCGAACACCAGCGAAATTATGCCTCCGACCATGTACACAGCTGTCATTATCCTCCTTTTGGTTTGGACACCGGGTCATCCGCCAGATAAAATGTGTTTAACCAATTTAGTACAGTGATTTGCATGAACGTCTGACAAAGCGTAACTTGAATACTAAAATCTTGGATCATTGTAACAGCTCATTTTTTATTTCTGGTGTTGCATTCGTACGTACTTAAGGGCAAGGAACCAGGGCCATCGAGTTTCCAAAACTATTTTGTTGAGAAAATATAAACAGACGGCGTCTCTCGGTTTGCAACGTCGTTTGCCGTAATCTTTAAGAGGTTATTCTACAAGTTAACAGTTTCAACCGCTATTCTAATCAATGCATATTCCGGCCAAAAAAAACATTTAGAAAGAAGTCACGTTATTTAGATGATATTCTTTCGATCCACAGGTTAAAACATAAAAATTATGCTAACTCCAAATTTGCGAGCAAATTAAAATTAAATGTCATTTTTGGTGTCAAATCATGAATAT